GAACCGAAATACCCCTCGGGAGATAACTTGCAAGGATTCGGATTTAAGTTCTGAAAATGGCCAGCCATTATACACTCTTGAGCAGACAAAAAGTGAGAATTCTGTAATAAAAAAAATTAATACTGAATTTCATAAATGTATAGCACAGTAGTCATAATAACAACTACAGAAAAGTAAACCAATTTGTAAAGACCAAATAAAAATGCACATTCACCATACCTGAACAGCGTTGTGATTGCCCTTTGATCCCAACAAATGCGCTCTTTTTGTAAAAATAAGCCGCCATCGCTTAAAAACATTGCCTTTTTATTCATATTCCATTTTAAAAAATGCATTCTTTAAGTAATAATAACACCCTAGTAAAATTATCTGTGTTTATAGGTATAATTCTGACTTCTATTACAAATATTTGCTTTGTTAAGATTATTCTCAACTGGTTATATTTTTGCAAGTATCTTTTAACGGAAAGGTTTTCATTCAAATTCATTATTAAGTGATTTGAATTTTAAAACTATTTTTTAAATAAATATCTTTTTCTAATAAAATAAGCACCTTTAAATATTCATTTTTTCATAATTTTCAGTTTAAATTATAAAAAAAGTTTTCAAGTTACTTATCAAATAATAGTCTTTTGCTCAAAAATAGAAGAATTATATGCTTGTTACAACTTATTTCTAAAATAATTGTAAAATCTTCTTATGCAAATTATTCATTTTCAAAAAATTTTCAGTTAGAAGGTAGGAGTTTCATATTGACAATTTAAGGAATTTGTAGAAGATCTAGACCATTGGCTACAGTAGCATACCTTGAATAAATAGTCAGTGAATAAGTATGGTCTACAGCATTAATGAAAACAGCATAAAAGAATTTCATATTTCAAAATTTTAAAGATACTTTAAAAAACGGTTAAAAAAATATATTTCTTTTAATAAAATACATTGAATAAACTGCCACTTTCTAAATGGTACCTTTTTGAAGTTAACGTTTCTTAAAAACAGAAACAGGAAGAAAAAGTTAAATTACCATGTCACAAAAAGTTAATGAGTAAAAAAGATAATACTATTTTGGAAGAAAAAAATTAAACATTTATGATTTAATTAATAGAATCACAATTTTTCTTTAAAAAAATCTAAATGTATTTATTTGAGAATTTTGGAAATCAGAATAATTTTAAGTGATAGTATTTTGTTTTTCAGAAAGGAGAAAAAAGAAAAAAAAAACACTCAGCCAACAAGGGTTCCACAAAAAGTTGACTTACAATATTCCTAATATGTTTCACAGTTCCATTTTGTTCGGCTATCAAATCTGTAAAAATCCATCCGACTTTTTGCAATCCTAGCTGTGTAGCGATTTTATCAATAACTTCGGCTTTCTCGTCTGGTAGAAGCCTCAACATGTCTCGAGAACCATCCTAAATAAATAAATATTCAAAACTATTAACTGAAAAAACTAGATTGTTCAATAGGAAATAGAAAATAAAATTAAACAATTGATTCAGAAGATGATAGGAGATAAATGTCAGTATTGTTAACTCTTTAAATTATGGTATAAAAAAACCCTCTGTGTTCCTTTTAATTTAAGAAATATGCATTCTGATGTAAGGAATACATTAAAAATTAGCTTTCCTATATTTGCACAATCATTTCAGTGAAATAATTTGTTCTATTAATTACAGTTTTAACTGTTCCCTATTACAACACTCCTAAAAGTCCAATCAAAGTATGAAATTGACTTTAAAAAAATTTAATAGAAAAATTGTAGAATAACACCTTAAAATGAGTCAAAATGGAAAAGCACTAAAAGTAGCTAAAATCAGATTTGTCTTATGTAAACTATTTAAACAAAAAGTTAGAAACCAAAATTTTAAAGATATGTATGTTAGCAAAAACAGCACTTCATCAGGGGACACACTGTCTGCTAACACACTGGAGCCTTTCTTTAATCTGTGGTTAAACCAAAAGCTGACTGAAGATTCTACTTTCTTCTGAAGTGGAAATAAAATTTTTGTTTTGGTATTTTATTCCTAATTTTAAAAGATTTTGACTTAAAATTACATTAACCATCATTATATATAATAATTTTATATAATACAATAATTATATAAAATATGATAATTATATATAATATGATATGCTGACAATAATATAATTAGGTCATAGGCACTGAAAATGTTTTAAAAATTTCCGTTTCAATTTATTATCAGGATCTTACTATTGTTAAGAAAAATGTTTCATCAAAAACTACAAACGACGCCATGAGAAATAAATTATATTCCAAGAACAATCTAGATTGACTTACTTGAGGTGGCTCATAGATGGCAGTGACGATGGCTCGGATGCCTAAGGGTACATCTTTGTGAGGTTTATAATAGCCATACAAGATTCCAATTCGTTGATGGCTTGTGATGCGCCAGTAGTTCAAAAATCTATCCACGATTGATGAATTTTCAAACACAATATTATCAACATGTCTGTAAGGCTAAAAATAGATCATTAGGAAAAACAAATAGATAGGGAAATTAATACAACAAAATAATTAATCATTACAGATTTTTATATATATATATAAATAGGTCTCCTAAGATCATGGGGTGCCACTTCAAAAAAATTTCAAGACTGAACTTATTTTTGACCAATTAACACAATCTAGAGTTGTTTACAGAATTTTCAGAATTGTTGACTCCAAAATGTATATTTCCATAATTCTGGCACATATATTAAATCAATGATTTGATTTTTATTCATTTTGTTAATTTATTTTTTCACAGCAAACAAGATAAAAATAATAGTTAACCTTGAAGATCTTTTTGCATCAATCACTAGATAGTAAACCACAATTTTTTTCATGCAGCTACTCACATGTCTACTTCATTATTTTTTATTTCTTACTCTATCTGTGTAAAAAAAAATATTTAAAGAAAAAAAAAATCTTAACTTTGTTCAGCATTTCAAAATGTTAGGGTTAAAAAAAAAGCTCAAACAAAATTAGATACTAAAAATTTTGCTTAGGCAAGCAAGCACTGAAGTTCAATCAATCCTATTCTTTCATTGTGGTGCGACATCATTACTAGATAACGATGGGCAATAATTATGAATAGCAATGTTTTTGTTAAAATGTAATATTTGTATGAAATAAATAGATTCCTTGCTCTGATGTTCAAGTTAATATTGCGCACAGTTTTTCAATCAAATTCCTTAACCAGTTTTGAATAAAAATGTATCTAATCTGCTAGCGTTTTCAGCATTGAAAAAAGTAAAAAACAACTTTTTATTTCAAGCATGTGTCATTTCTTTTTTCGCTGAACTTTTATTTTTAAAAATAAAAGGTAAAAATACATCTTACTAGTTTCTTGAAGAGTATCTCCAAATTGTGTGAAATATGCTTGTAGAGGAGAATAAAATATCTCTAGGCAAAGTATATTTATATATGCTTTGCTTATATATTATTTTACTAAAGAATCAGCATTGATAAAAAT